GGGAAGTACCTTTTGCCCTACGTTACTGTGTTTTGGAAAACACTCACACACAGGATATTTCTTGGTCCTCGTAATCATTATGCGAGATGAGCAGAGAAAACATAATTGTGCCCATTTCAAAGATGAACAAGTCAGAAAATCAGATTCATGGATAAAATCTTATAGCCAGTATATTTCTGGAACTGGGCCTGGTACTCGTGCTTTCTCCTCCTCAACCTACTGCTTCTGTACTACCAACTCTTCCAAGGAATGCAAATTTAGAATCAAAATAAACTTTTATCCTTTTAGACCTGACTGTTTTGGAGTTTTGTGGTAATCTGAATAGAGATGAGACAGAAAAAAATTCGTAAACAAAGGAGAGGGGAGTAGATTGCCAAGTTGTGGCAGGCAGCCTCTAAGATAGCCCCTGATTATCTTCCCTTCTAGCATTCGTGTCTTGTGTAATCCCCTCCACTTGTGAAATTGCTCTCTAACTAATATAATATGGCAACTTAGAGGGGTGTCACTTCCTTGCTTAGTTTGCAAAAGATTGTGACTTCTGTCTTGCTAGAAGTGTCTGTCTCTCTCTGTCTCTCTGTCTCTCTCTCTCTCTCTCACTGATTTTGATAAAGTGAGCTGCCACAGGAGGGAGGCTCTCCTGCCCTAGGAGAGAAGACCCGAGGACAGCAGGGAACTGAAGCCCTCAGTTCAACATCCCTCAAGGAAATGAATCGTGCCGACAATCCCATGTGTTAGTTGGGAAGCAGATCCTTCCATAAGTGAGCCTTTGGATGAGATCCAGCCTTGATGGACACCTTGCCTGTAGTCTTGTGGGAGATTGTGAAGCAGAAGACCCAGTTAAGTCATCTCCAGAGCCCTGACCACAGGCGTTTTAAGCTACTCATTTTTGGGGAGTGGGTTAATCTGTTATTCAGCAGTATATAACACGAGTCTTCAGGACTCATTTCCAGAAGTGATTCAGTGGAAGTGGAACCAAGTTATCACTGCTGTGCATGGACCCCAAGTGTTTGCAGTTCTGATGAACTGTGATATCTAACACTGGAGACACTTTTTCTTTCTCTCATTTTTCTATTCTTTCTTCCCTTCTCTCTTTCCCTTCATTCCTCCTACTCTTTCACACTTCAAAAATTTTTAAATGTTTATTTATTTATTTTGGGAGAGAGAGAGGGATAGAGAGCGAGTAGGGGAGGAACAGAGGGAGAAAGGGAGAGAGAGGATCCTCAGCAAGCTCTGCACTGTCAGTGCAGAGCCAGACGCGGAGCTCGAACCCATGAACTGTGAGATCATGACTTGAGCTGAAACCAAGAGTCACATGCTTAACCCACTGAGCTACCCAGGCACCCCTTTCATACTTTTAATTAACAGAGGAGTTGGAAACTTAAAGTCAGTAGCAACACAAAATAAAAGTCCTGCATCTGCAAAATGTTATCATTTATATCTTTCCACGATGCTCTGTGCCAAGCTCCATATGTAGGCTACCTAGTGCCTACATTAGGTAGGAGTTACCTAACGAAGGTTTGGCTGTTGGTGTTATTGAATCCCCATGGAGTTGATTCAGTGCTATTCATTCCATTTCTACTTGTGGCAATGTCTTGATTCTTTTATAGGCTTTGTATACTCATGTTCTCTGTCTTTTCCTTTGGAGGCAATTTATAGCACTGATCTACCAGTACCTTTCACTGACTTTGATGTGAAGATGGTTTTTCCTGCAGGTACCTACAGAATTAAAAACATAGAGCATAAAGAAATAACGTTCATGCTTTACACTGTCTTACTGATTCTCTCCAGTTTTTCCATCCACCACACGACCTGAAAAGATTTTCACTCTTGGGCAGTCTTTGCTTCTATTTCACATGCACAAATAGCTAAAGAGAATTAGGCAAGGACAATTCCAGGTAAGGTTATCTGTATGAAACCTTGAAAATAATCTGAAACTAGCCTTGATAAATGGGGGGGGGTGGGGCATGTGAAGGGATAGAGTAGGTGGTGGGGAGGTATACATGGACAAATTTGAATCACAAATTTCTTACTATATGCCAGCAACATTTAATAATAACACTCCTAAATACACACACACACACACACACACACACACACACACACACACACATAAATGAGTCACACTATGAAAACTTTTAACAAGTGCTGGCAAGTCAGATGGCAGACTCACCCCGAAACCTGTCTCTCCAATAAAAACCTCATAATTAAAAACAGGGCTGTCCATAAATCATAACATATAATAACAATTATGTGCAACTGGTACAGGACTTGATTAGAAAATTAACATTTAGCTTTCTCAGGTGAAAATTCTGAATTTCCCTCAGAGTGAAAATACCTCTATAGTATATGGCCAGCAGGTTATCATCTATACCTGAGCCGTGAGGTGCTTTTTTGTCCAACTAATACCTACTGACCGTGAGGTGCCTTTTTGTCCAGTTAATACCTACTGACCTTGGTCCAATAAAAGACTGAGATGATGCAGTTTTACTTGTCGTTTGAGAACAATACTAGCATTTGCCATGTATTGAGAAAGTGCCTACAATGTGCTCGATACTTTGTCAGGCACTGGCTGTCCCATTTTCTCTTCTTTACACTCAGCAACAATGAACCGTATTTTACTTCTATAAAACTGAGGCTTAAACTGGTTTACTGACTTTCCTAAGTTTATATAAGTAGTAAGTGACCAAAACAGGATTTGAACCTGAATCGGCTTGATTCACCTTTCCATTAAAGGTGTGGCCTTGATAAAGGACATGAACTCAATGTATATATGGAACCAGGTGAATAAGCTACAGTTGTGGCCTTACACTGGATCCTGTTGAATGTATGGTAGAATGGATAAGAAGCCTCTTCTCTGTTGCTACCTCTTTAACCTGCAAGAAATCAGTCACTCAGCTTTGCCGGGTTCTTGTTTTTTGTTGCTTTTGTTGCTGTTTGGTTTTAGTTGATAAACTGAATCATCTCAATTAGTTACTATCTGATGTGTCTTCCATGTTAAAATTATATTATTCATCCACTCAGGCTTATATCAATCTGACAAACCTAAACTAAGTAAACCCTGATATTTGTCATGTTTCCTTCAAATGTCCCCTGTGGCATGTGAGCAGAGTCTGAAAATGAAATAGAAGTTCCATGAAGCTATAACAACACTTTTTCATTGTGTTCTTCTCTCTCCTTTTCTTTTAGGTACGTAGTTGGATGGGATGTCCTGTGAGAAGGTGAGCTGAGGAGAAGCTGGAGGCAGGACTGGGAGGACATGAATGAATTAGTCAGTGAAATTTAGATTCTTGTTTTCCAATACTCTTTCCCTAACGGAGTTTTTAGGGAGTGGAAGAAAGCTGTATGCAGACGCGGAATGTCTTGGGGTAGCTGTTCACAAAGAAATTAATAATTAATTGCAGTGAACACCTGCTTCTTAGAATTTCATAATTCTCAGGAAATATTTTTTATTGTCAACATTTTAAAAATTCTTTTTCAAAAAAAATTTTTTTATGTTTATTTATTTTTGAGACAGAGAGATAGACAGAGTGCGATCAGGGGAGGGGCAGAGAGAGAGGGAGACACAGATCTGAAGCAGGCTCCAGGCTCTGAGCTGTCAGCACAGAGGCCACTGTGGGGCCCGAACTCACAAACAGTGAGATCATGACCTGAGCTGAAGTTGGACCCTTAACCGACTGAGCCACCCAGGCGCCTCAACATTTAAAAAATTCTTAATGGCACACCGAATAGCAGAGTTTGGCCAAGTTTTTCTCTAAAGGGCCTGATAGTAAATTGTTTAGCTTTTGTGAGCCATATGGTTTCTGTCACAACTACTTAACTCTGCTGTTACAACACCAAAACAGCCACAGATGATACATAAATGGAAGAGAATGTCTGAATTCCATGCAACTTTATTTACCAAAGCAAGCAGCAAGACGGATATGACACAAGGGTCATAGTCTGCTGACCCCTGGTATAGTGAAAAAAATTCAACTGGAGTTTGATTATGGCACTTTCACTTTAGCTGGGTATTTTGGGACAAGATATTTATTTTAGATGTGATAGAGTTTCATTATCTGTATAGGGATAATAAAATCTACTTCATAAGACTGTTACAAAGATTAAGCTATGTAGATAAAATATAGCACACTGGCACCTAGTAAGTGTTTAATAAATGGTAACTGTAATTATTATCATCATCATTACAACACTATTATTTTAATTTCTTGTAGGTTTTTTGGCTGGTCGTGTAGTCTAACTAATGTATTTATAGTAAACCAAAAAGTGCTATTGAAGGCAGTGGAAACTGTGTTTTGCTGGTTCATCATTGAAGATTGTTCTGCTGGGATTAGAAAATTGTTTTAGAGAGTGTTGGTGCTATTTCATACTTACTGAGCTAATACCATTCTCTCTTGGTTTTAGCTTTTGTACTTCAAGTCCTTTTTAAAAGAATTGTATAGATATGGGTGCCTATGTTTGCTTTACTTCTTTATTTTCCTTGTTGGGCAATCATGCATATGTTGATTGGCATCAAACCTAGATCTCACCTATATCCCCATGGCAATGAGCTTCTACTGATTTGAATTCAGACAAGCCCGGGTGGCCCCGTGAGTGGGACAGGCTGGGTGTGTCCACCTCAGGCTGTGGCACCAGAAGGGCGTGGATGCACCTGCTGTGCTTGTGTAACGCTGGCACCAACGTGGCGGTGCTTCTCTGTGTGTTTGTCTTCTTGTGAAAGGTCACTGGCTGATTGGAGCTGTGGGGCTGTGCCCCGCATCCTCAGCAGGCCACAGGAGCTTTCTTTCTGTGATGTTCTGCCTCATTTCTAGAGGGGAGTTTGACTCAAAGAAGGAAGACTCTGGCTTTTGTATTCAAAATTTTCCCTAGGGGAGGAAACTATTACCATATCTAGAGGGCCTGAGTCATTGAAGAGAACTTACTCAAAGAGAATTTTTCACTAAGGGAAAAGATGGAACAATCACAGTAAAGCAGAAGCCACAGGGCCTGGGTTATTGTCTTACCATAAACCGAAGGGTTACAGGTAACAGACAACTTTCAGTTCCTGCTATCGGAAGGGGTGGTCAGTCCTTTCTTTTACTGAGCCGCTTTCCAACTTTTCTCCTTTTCTTTTTCTTTTCTTGTAATGAAGAGGAAAGACAAATGATAACAGATCTGCCTTGGGCTGATATGGGGATAGGATCAAATTAATAATACAAGTTAGGCCAAAATTTACTTTTCTCTCTTTGAATTGACATTGAAGTGTGCATGGGCTATTTGGACTAAAGACTTTAAATATGTGTTAGCTTGCAAAAGTGGCTATAGAGAAAAGGCCAAAAACAACACAGTAATATTTAGGGATGGTATTAAAAATCTTCACACTCTGCATTTCAAGACAAAATGTGTTTTTTGTAGGTAAAATAACAGTCCAAACACCAAAAACATTTTAAATACAAAATTCATTTTAAATCATCATGATTCTGGAGGCATAACATCATAGTGATAAGTAAAGAATACATCATATTTCATACTTTATTAAGATATTTGTGTCATTTTCTGCTTTTACTTAACCTTCAGAAAAAGACTAAATTATATCAAGTCGCAAGGCAAGTTTATAGCCCCAATTGTCTCCCCCTGGCTGTTTTCTTTCAGTTTTGTACATATGGAGACGTTTCTCTTCTAGAGCCACATCATTCTCTTAAAGTTACTATATGCGATATTCTATGATTTATTTATACTCCTCTGTTAATGATTATACTTAGTTTACTTAGAAAGGTTTAGGGTTGCATGCTCATGACAAAGTTAGGAATAATATGCTGGTTAAATGGATGGTGTTTTCTTCTGTAACTCCTCTGGCTTCTTGCACACCTTTGGGAATGATCTTATGAAACAAGCCTGTGATGCCTTTGGAAAGGTTTTTTTACGTGCTTCTATCTCCCTATTTCCAGGTCTGTTTCCATAGCTTTAGCTGCATCAAGGTCCCAGAAGGATGGGTTTAACTAGAAATTCACAAAAACTGCTGCTATGTTTGGATTCTGGTCAGACAAGTTGCCACTAACCTAACCGTGGAATGGGACCTTCCATACTCTCACATCAACATACCAGTTTGGCCTTAGCTCCTTTTTTTTCTCTCCCTCTCCCTTGATTAATCTCATGTAATTATGTGTGTACATGTCTGAGGGCAGGGACCATGCCTTATTCATGTCTGTATTATTCAAGGGCCTGGCTCAGAGTTGTTGCTTAAGAAATGTGTGTTGGAGAAATATTTACACATAAGCTACAATTCTCACTCAGATTCCGGTATCTGAACAAAGTGGCTTTCAGCTTTTTGGATAGGATAAAAAAGAAATATGGGCTTTAGGTATATGCCACCTTTTAAGAGCTGCCATGCAAGTTCAGAATCCCCTGTGATCGGCCAGTATTAACCTCATTTCTGTCAGTAGCCATGTCTCAATGCTAGGTGACTCTTCTGGCATGTTTTGGCAAGAAAGAACTCTTTACCTGGTTTGGCTAATCTACATTGGCTTCTAGTTCCAACAAGAATTGTTTACATGCATTTAATTTTAGCTCTTGGGCTGTAACATGTCATTGTTCTTTTTACTCACCTCCTCCCCTTGCTTTTGAAACAGGACAGGCATCTTCGATTCTTGTTGATCCTGTTTGGTGTGCTCTTAGGTGGATTTTAGCTTTGTCCTTCAGCTTTCATGGCACTCTAAGATATTTTCGAGTCATATTTCCTGTATAAGAAAATATAGACTATGTCATCGCAAAGGGAAGTGGGACTGGGGGACATTATTTACATCATTCAGGGAACTCATATCCTGACTTGAAGGAAAATTAAAGCAATGTATTTGGACTGATTCATCTCATTTGATTGTTCTTCTCTACTCAATTTACAGGATAATGCATTCAGCTCTTACTTAATTTTATCTGTCACTGTCACAGTGAATCTAGAAGAAAAAAATGCATATTTGACACTTAGTTTAAAAAAAGTCATTGCTAGGAGAATTATTTTTATTCTTCCCCAGATTTAGAGGAGAATGAACACCCTAGGAAAATAAAAAACTTTGGACAAAACAGTGCTTTCGTAAGAGTACACCACGAAATGGAAAGAACTCACAGCAAGCTTGCAGAAGTGCTTTGAAAAGTCTCTTGCACAATTCAGTTTCTTTAGAGTACTTACACAATCATATTTCTTAATGACTTTCTATAAACAATTTTTTCTTGACGAGAAGCATAAAGATGTAACAATAAAGAGATAACTTTGGGAAAAAATACACTAATGGTTTCTTACTTCTATACCATGACAGACATTAAATCATAGATTTTTTTAGTACAATTTTCATGTCAATTGTGGAAGACACAGGAAACACAATACACCGTAGGAAGTTTCAGTTCGCCACCTAGAGGAGAGATGTGAAATTGAACATTTCTCCAAACAACTTCAGTAGAATTCATTCATTCATTTATTCATTCACTCACTCAACTCATTCATTCAATTATTTACTTATTTAATTATTAAAAAGTAATTAAGTACTTGTTAGGCTTAATTACTGTACCAGTGCAGATTTGATAATCTATTCAAGAGCTCTGAGCTCAAAGAAGGTACAAATGTGTCTTATTTTAATGGCAATCTTTAAAATCTTTTATTAAAAGATTTTTTAATTAATGTTTATTTATTTTTGAGAGAGAGAGAGAGAGAGAGAGAGAGAGAGACAGAGTGTGAGTGGGGGCCCTCAACCACCTTTTGAGAGAGAGAGGGAGACACAGAATCTGAAGCAGGCTCCAAGCTCTGAGCTGTCAGCACAGATCCTGTTGTGGGGCTCCAACTCATGAACAGTGAGATCATGACTTGAGCTGAAGTCAGATGCTCAACTGACTGAGCCACCCAGGTGCCCCAGAAATCTTTTATTTTTAAAAGCCTACAGGGCGCCTGGGTGGCTTGGTCGGTTAGGCATCCGACTTCGGCTCAGGTCATGATCTCACCAGCCTTGAGTTCGAGCCCTGCATCGGGCTCTGTGCTGACAGCTCAGAGCCTGGAGCCTGTTTCAGATTCTGTGTCTCCCTCTCTCTCTGCCCCTCCCCTGTTCATGCTCTGTCTCTCTCTGTCTCAAAAATAAATAAATGTTAAAAAAAAAAGAAACATTTAAATAAAAAAACATTAAAAAAAATAAAAGCCTACAACTTAAATATCTGGACAATTCTAATTATCCATATTTGTGATGTCTATTACTTTTAGCTCTTGGGCTCTAATAAAGCTTTATTGTTTTTTATTTGTTCCATCTCTTTACAATGTAGCTATTAGTGTCTTCTCCATACAAGTTAGGAAATGGAGTCTCAGAGAAATTAAATAACAAGTTTAAGGTGTCAAAGCTACTTCATTATAGAGCCAGTGTCTGAACCAAAGCCAGTCTAATCCCAGAGCCATCGCCCTACTCAGTTCTTGTCTAATCCAGATGCTCACAAGAGCCAGACTGCAGCTGGGGGTGTGGACAGTACTTATAGGTTGAAAGGAGGTCATGGTCAGCACCAGGTCCATAAAGCAGGCTTGGGAGAAGCTTTATGAAGCTAACTCTCTGGACTAGATCTAAAGATGGTAGGAATGTTCATATGTATGAATTTCTTGTACCCTGAGGAATGAACTGCAAAATTTTCCCAAGTTAGTCCAGTCCAAGCAAGAGTAGACATGAGGCTGGGGACAGCTGGTGTGCATGAGTGCCTCCTTTGCATCTGGGTGTCTAACATCATCAACCACCACATCTCATGTGCTACAGAGACATACAGTTTATAAATTAATACAGCATAAAGCTCCTGCAGTCTGCTTAAATTTTATTGTCAATTCTGTTAGGTAGACAGGGCCGTGAAGAGCAGGCTAATTATTATGTGTGTGTGTGTGTGTGTGTGTGTGTGTGTGTGTGTGTGTGTGTGTATTTAAGTAGGCTCTACACCCAGCATGGGGTCCAACGTGGAGCTTGAACTCATGAGCCTGAGATCAAGACCTGAGCTGAGATCAAGAGTCAGATGCTTAACCGAATGAGCCACCCAGGCGTTCCAAATGAGCATGCCAATTGCATAGATGAGGAAACTGAAATTCTCAAGAAGTTCCCTGAATTCCAAGGCCACAAAGTAATCGTTGGTGCCAGAACCAAAACCTAGGTTTTCTGATTTCCATCCAGCATTCTGTCTATCGTTTCTCACTGCCAGTAAAATCAGCTTTGCTCTCTGTGACTTTTCTAGTCGCTCCTGTGGTTTTATACCACTCCCTCTCTCCCGTTAAACATCTCTCTGTCAAGGCAGAATTTCCCATGAAAACAGAAAACAAATGTACCAGAGACGTTGATGGCATAAGACATAAGACAGAGATAAGAAGGCATGTTGCAAAGTGGTGTCCTTCAGTGCAAGAAAAAAGGGATATATTTGGAGGAAAGGAAATGAGAGAAGATTAAAGGCAACAGGTCAGTTCTGAGATGGTGAGGAGAATAAATGTTACACGTGTACCTGACCCTCTTCAGTAGGCATGATTGTGAAGACTTGTGGGCAGAAGTGTAATGTGCTGTGGAAATTGTCTAGCTGTTGGGATCCTACTGTAAGCCATTTTTTAAAGTGAAGAAAACTCTGATCAGCCTCTGGTTTGCTTATGGAGAGGACTTTGCCCAGCTGTACCCAGAAAGCTTGAGAATACCACATAGCATATAACCCTGAGACCATTTTTCTTTGCCGGGAAAATTTGCTTAAAAAGGAACATTAAGACTGCATGGACATGTGATAATGTGCATGGTGACCTTCTACTGTAAATTGGAAAGAATTAACCTTCCTGCATCTATTGCTGAGAGATAAAGGAGAACATTTTCTTAGGGCTTTGAACTACTTCAGTTGAAATCTGACTGAAAAAGTCAGCACCGGGGACTGTATTTTACTTATTTTGTATCTTTCTCTGCATCTAACGAGTTTTTTTTTTTTTTTTGAAGATTAACACAGGGTACTGAGTTTTATTTAGATTCCAGATATTATTATTCAATAAATTTAAATTATTTTAAAAGCATTTGAAAAAGAGTTTACATTAAAAGTTGAATCAATGTGACTTATATTTCCCTCTAGTTGAAAACTCACAGACTCCTAAGCAACTTTTTTTCTTTTTGAAAAAAAATTTTTTTGTTGTTTTGAGAATCACACAGAAGTAATAAGGAGTGGCCCTGATCCCTGTGCTTTTATTTATGTGTGGTTAAAGTTCAAATTTCTCAATATACCATAATCTCATTGTACTGGCCAAATTCCATGGTGGATAATTAGATGCAGTGCACCAGGGCCAATTTGGATAGAGAGAGCAATCACAGTGTACTTCTGAGAATCTATTAGCCAGGTTGACTGTGTTTGACACATGAGTGGTAAGGACTCACCTCACTTGCTCACTGGACTGGCCCAGCAGGTTCTGCAGGTGAGATCACCGCTTGGCTGTCTCATTGCTGGGCTTGGTACGCAGAAGAGGCTATGAAATAAATGGCTTGACTTTGGGTCTCAAAAGTTCTCTTTCTTATTTCCTCCCCCAAACTCCTTCTTCTGCTTCTGGAGACTAAAGCATTCATTTATAAATTCATTCATTCAACAAATATTTAGTGAAAACCTATAACGTGTCAGGCACTGTCTTGGGCTCTAGAAATACAATAGTGAGCCAGACATTTCCTGCCTTCTAGAACTTATAAATGAATAATTATAATAGTCAGTGGGAAATTTTACTATTGACAGAGCTCAGTAATCTAAATCTTTATTTCTGTCTTTAAAAAGCAGAAAGAGCACAAATGTTCTTTGGAAATATAGCATAGAAATGTATTTATAGATTTCAACACATAAAATGAAGACCAGCTCATCTGTCATTGTGAGTTCAGAGTAAACCCCACCCTCCCTGTTGTACCCCGACTCCACTGTGTCCAATAGCCACTTTGCCATTATATGCACACACACATACACATACATACAGTTTCAATGATCTTCAAATCTATGCAGCATTCAGTTGTTGAGCACATATTACTACTCACCTAGGTGGAGACTGAATTTCCCCGTAAGTAACTTATAATTTAGGAGGTAAAACATTTGCCTCTTTCTTTTTTTTTTTTAATTTTTTTTTCAACGTTTATTTTTATTTTTGGGACAGAGAGAGACAGAGCATGAACGGGGGAGGGGCAGAGAGAGAGGGAGACACAGAATCTGAAACAGGCTCCAGGCTCTGAGCCATCAGCCCAGAGCCTGACGCGGGGCTCGAACTCACGGACCGCGAGATCGTGACCTGGCTGAAATCGTGACCTGGCTGAAGTCGGATGCTTAACCGACTGCGCCACCCAGGCGCCCCACATTTGCCTCTTTCAAAATGTGACACTACTCCTCTGCTCCTTAGACTGTGAAAGCAAATATTTGGTGCTTTAGTTAATTGCTTCCCAAACTTCAGCTGTTCACATACCATCTTCATAATTTTTGCTATATTCACATACCACCTATGCTGTTATGACTCTGTAAATATACTACGATTTCAGCTTAATTAAATTTATTTAATAATATCTTTTAGGGCGCCTGGGTGGCTCAGTCGTTTAAGCCTCCGGCTCTTGATTTTGGCTCAGGTCATGATCTCATGGTTCATGGGATCAAGTTCCATGTCGGGCTCTGCACTGACTGTGTGGAGTTGGCTTGGGGTTCTCACTATCCCTCTTTTTGCCCTTCCCCTGCTCTTACACACATTCTCTCTCTCTCCAAAAAATAAATGAACATTAAAAAATACTATCTTTAAAATCACCAGGTTGATGTGCTGGGTATATAATTTTCAAATATACTTTAATGTAAATATAGGATTATTAAATTATATATGTATTGTCTGTATGCATCCCCAAATATTCTCAAGTGCTCTCACAACACATATACTTTGGGAAGCTTTACAAAAGTAGGGCCACCTTTGAGAGTGAAGAATGGCGGAAAAAATAAAATGCATAAGTAATGATAATAATCATAGGCAATGGTCACAAAGCTATTATTTACTGAAGGCTTTACATGTGTCATTTAATTTTATCTTATTTAATCTTTGCTCTCTTGCAGGCATGCAGATAACAGAAATGTGAGGCAAAAGAGCAAGAAAGAGGTAAGAGTAGAAGTGAAATTTCATCGTACTTAGGGCAGCTGTAACTAACATGTGCCATAACGTTTTAGTTTTTGTTCTTTTCTTTACTTGACTGAGATTTCACATTTGATTATTTCATGTAAATTAGAGCGTGATGGTGGCAGATTGAAAAACTTTTTAATCAAATTTATTTATTTATTTATTTATTTATTTATTTATTTATTTTAATGTTTTTATTTATTTTTGAGACAGAGAAAGACAGAGCATGAATGGGGGAGGAGCAGAGAGAGAGGGAGACACAGAATCGGAAGCAGGCTCCAGGCTCTGAGCCATCAGCCCAGAGCCTGACGCGGGGCTCGAGCTCACGGACTGTGAGATCGTGACCTGAGCTGAAGTCGGACGCTTAACCGACTGAGCCACCCAGGCGCCCCTCAAATATATTTATTAATTAAAAAAAATAATAATCCCCCAAAAAGCATGTTAGTATAATTGTACCCATTCTAAGGATGCAGCATCAAGTGAGAGAAATCTGATTAAAACACATTTTCTTTTCTTTAGTTTTTGGTATTCTGTTTCTCCAGTTGCTAATCAGCAAGAATATCTTTGTCCTACTGAACCGAGGCATGTTCAAAAGCCTTTGCCCTCTTTGGCATAAGAGCCTAACTTATTAAAGACAAAGTTCTCCTAGGTCTCTGCTAAAAAATAGTGAAATAAATATTTTTATAAACATATTATCTCAAAGTATTAATGCTGGAAGAGACCTACAGGACCAAAGACAGCTCCCTCCCTTTACAGAGAGAAAAAGGTTGAAACAGCAATGATTCTGAAAAATTTCCTTGTGTTTTCATAACTAATATCTTCATCATAAAGCCCACGACATGCACTTGTTTTTATTTGCATGCCTGAATTTTGGTGGCTCTGAACCATATATGATGGCTCTGAGGACAAACCATGTTTGTTTCCCGCCCTGCAATTTTGTCAGTGTGCCATGTACTTCCTTGGTATTGAGCAATCATTTTTCAACTACCTAAAAGGTATGATATACCCCATAAACCTGCCTTTTCATTCTTCTTTGACATAAACTTTCTAGGTACTTAAACCTCATTTAGCATTCCATTACTCATCTTCCCTGTAAAAGTGTCAGACAGTGTATTTGAGACTCAAATAGCTGGAAGAGTATGCTGTCCCTTGTCACGTTTATGTATTCTGGGCATAGACTCCATTTGAGAATGGCCAGACCTAAAAAGATGAAAACCCTAAGGTGCATGGACTATGTTGATTAAATATTTTAATTGGACATCTACATAAATGACAGGAGCTGTAAGAAAATTGGTCCAGATCAATTTACATCTTACCTCAATTGTAAGATCGATTGATCTGGATCGATTATTATGGAACAAATTAGCTAGAATTATAAGCTGCTTAGAAAAAGATTAAACTATGCTAGCTATTTCACATAATTAAATTACCAAACAATTACTCTGATTATTTTTCTTTTTTCCCTCAAGGTTTCTTGACATATAGGTATACAAAAACTGCACACAATTAATATATACAATATGATGATTCTGGACATATGTGTAACCGTACTGTGATCATTTTTCACAGCAGTCTAATCAAAGTGCAGCTTTGGATTTGTTAGTATATTTGAACATGAATGTTTTGGAGGTTTTACCAGTGGCTTTCCCATGTCGGTTCACATAGTCTTTGTTATTATCCTGTAGATAACTGAATTGCAGCATAGTGATTTGTTACAAAAACACTTTGATGGTTAACACTTTTTGGTGTGAGGTATACTTTAAGAATCAGCCTATTTCCAGGGCCCTGTTTTTATCTGTGAAGGTCAATGCATCCTCCTTTTTAATTCTCAAGATGGGTGTTTTTATAGCTTGATGAAATGTGACACGGTTCATCTACCTCCCCCTCCTTCCGGCACCTTTTTCCTCCGCCAGTTTTTTTTCCCCCCCTTCCGATTCCTCCTGGCATCCGGACACCTTTTTCTGCCAAATGAGTCAGTTAGAGTGGAAATGTTGCGCCCACATTTTTTATCTTGTCTGGGAAAAGAGGTTTGAAGGCCAAAGGTGCCTGAGTATATTTCGTTAGTGTCCTCACACAACCCTCCTGGTCCTCTCCTGAGAAGAGCACTTTGTATTCAAGGTAGAAAGTGCCAGATGATCCCCACTGCACATACATTTCACAAACTCAATACTCAGAGAGTTGTTCTTTGATGAAAGAACTAGAAAAAAATATTATTTTTATATTTGTAATATTATTTTTATACTTAAATACTATTTTCAATATTATTTATTTACCTGTGCATGTTTTTCTCTTAATACCTGATCTCCTTCCACAAAAGATTTAAGTGGGTTTTACAAACCCAAATAACACTGTAGGGCTAAGAGTGAAAGGAAAAATATGTAGATTTTTAAAAAGGGAGAAAGGAAACATGGGTAGATTTATAAAGTGAAAATGAATGGTCTGTATTCTGGCATTGGGTAGCTATTGTATGGAGCATTTCTTATATATTAGATGAAACACTGATCAAAATATCTAATCTAATTGAATGACCTCATCACCATTTTGAATTTGTTTAGATTTTGTAGGTGTAGAAATGGAGGCTTAGAGAGTTGAATTCATTCAGCTCCACCCTGCTAAATTAGTGGTGGGGTGGGATTTAAACCTTCTGGTGGTCTCACCCAGAGTCACTGCTATAACCTCTCTAGCTTGTACTGTCTCAGCAAATGTACAGATAACTTAGCTTCATTACATTAGTCAATCATTTTTTTTCACCTGTCAATCCTTAATAAGTGGAATAGGTTTGGGGAGCAGTAATTGTTGGGTTCTGGGGGTAGCTGTGGTTTTGATGGAGGATGTAGTAAAATGCACAGCCTCGTTGTCACAGTGTAGGTCAAAAAGTGGTTCGTTTAAAGTCTGAAGTCATTCTTGGAGGTTATATTCTTCACCAAGATCTTGATGTTAAATAAGCTGTATAGACTTAACAATATGTTATAAAAGTGAAGATACAACAGTATGAAGTTCTATCATGATGTAAATTCCTCAAAATTGTGGTCCAAGCCCTTTAAAATCTTCATAAATCACCATGCACATTCATTTAACAATATTTTATATATACATGCAATAATCCAGTGCTATACTACAGTATCACAAATTGGACCTAACATGAATTTATAGACTAGATTAAATATTACATATTTAATAGACTGAAATTTTGTTTTCCCTGGCCTTAGAACTTAGGAAACAAATTTGGGACAACTTCAATAGCTAAGGTTTCTTGAGAAAGTTCTCAGCTTCTTTGAACAGCTTCTTTTCTTCCAGACAAATTTCCCTGTAGCAAATAGGAGCCATCAGAATGATTCCCTTAGAGCTACCTCAAAGTAGAGTTTTATTGAGCCGGATCAGAGCAATAATTCAAGAAAAATGTACTGACTCTTATTATGTCTTAAGCACAATGCTAGGAATTTTATGCACATCATTTTGTTTAATTTTAATAGCAACTCCATAAGATATTATCCCCATTTAAGAGACTGAGGAACCACAGAAAGATCAGAGAAGTAAAATAAATTGGTGCTTCCAAGGCCACATCAATGATGGATCCAGGATTTGAACCCAGATATGATATGAAAACCCATGTACTTTTAAACCCCTAGACTGCCTGCCCTTCAAGGAACTCCCAAGGTTGTCTTGGAGACTTGACTCTGTATAGATAGCTGCTTCAAGAGGAGGAAAAATGTAGGAAGATGTGGTGCTTAGGTTTCAAGTAGACATCTGTACTCAATGAAAAGGTAGAGCTATTGTATTCTATTTATCAAGTACAGGTATATCATGTTCAATGTATTTCTCCACTCCATACACTGTCCATGGTGATAAAGGTGTCTAGGAAGGGGGATTAGGAAATACCTGCTATGTTTGGGTCAAAGCCAAATCACAGGATTAACATCTGCCTCTTCTTTCTCCTACATCCAGTTTCTCTTTTGATGAGAAGAAGAATAAACCTCATTCTTGTTCAGATGTAGAGATCAAGGAAAAGACTTCTGTCTTATTGGCTTCAGATATGTTATCAGCACCTAAATAATGGAAAGCTGCATTAAAGGAGGTTTCCCTTGGGAAGAGAGGTAATGAGATACAATGAAAGAGAGTGGGTATTTTTAAAATCATAGCAACCTAGGATCAAATCCTGGAATTAACACTTTTCAGTGGTGTGGCCTATGTCACTATTTTGAGCACCAATTTCTTCTTCTGAGATTCAGTGATTCAGATTACCTCCAGAGTTATCATACAGATAAAATGTAAGCAATGCAGGTAAATTTATCACACAAGTAGACATAAAACGAACTGGGTGAGAAAAGAGTCTTTTTATCTCCTTTTTTTTTTTTTGCCCAAGCTCCCATCCCCTCCTTTCCCTCTTCTCTTCCCTTTTCTTCTCTTTTCCTTATTTTTTTTTCTGTGCTAAAGTTTTGCACAAGCTCTACAGTTATGTATATGTCTTTGGTTGCAGCAACCATATATAAAGGAGACGCTGAATGTTTGCATTCATTTATATGCTGCTATAAGTATTTCATTCTTACAAGTTTTAGAGGGAAAAATTTGGCTGCTGGTGAATTGGTGAGAAAGAAGCAGTTATTTCTGAGGTTTAACTTTGACTCTGGCATCAGAGAGACAGTCTTTCACCACTGTTGCAAGTCCATGCTTCCAAGAACTGCTGAGCTGCAGCACTTACCACGTGTGATGGATTAGCCAAGTGCAAGTATGAAGTGAGCAGAGCATCTAGAACAGCTGTACCCACTGCATTACAGATGCTAAAATGTATCATAATTATTATTTATTATGATTCTTATAGCTCAGGTTAAATCGTACAAAATTCCTTATATCATTTTATGATTCATACTGTCTTCATCAAAGAAAGTATATTATAAAACATAGCCAATTAGTAACAACAACAGTGGAAAAGAAACAGGGTCCTGCTATATAACTTCCTCCTAAATATTTTCCCTTTAAGGAGATTTTGAGATACAGCTTTTCTGTGCTTAGATGCTAGATGAACAAATATTATGTTGGAAACCCAAGGATGATGTAGATTACTGGGTATAGTTTAGAGCTGGATTTCATCAACAATTAGCTTGTCACTATCATCCTGTAAATGTCTTTCTGTACTAACCTCACTGCCCCAGGTTGTGTACCTCTCAGGTTGATGCTGGTAGGAAATCTCTCAGCTGGGTCAGGCCCTAAGGGGTGAGGGAGTCGGCCAAAGGACACATACCATATTGGCTCATCATATTGGCCTAACTCTCCTGATCCTGCATTTCTCAACAGAATCTCTTTTTTTACTTGTCTTTTGTATAACTCCAGTGGAATAATTTTATTGAATTGCTTGAAAGAGACTGCTTATGGGGCAAGTCTGGTCATTAGGATTCTCCATTGGATTATTAGGTTTCACAATCAATGTCATAAATTGCATATACCCTTTTCTTGGAGTAATGGTTCATTCTCAAGTCCTTTTCAGTTGATTGTCTCTTTACTTGCTTCTTTTAAGGTTTTTCTGTTTTTGTTTTGTTTTGTTTTTGGCTCTTTTGGGGATAATTTCATGAAATATACTGAGTCAGCAATCCATTTCAGCAAAGCAGTAGGACAAATGAATGGATTTTTGGACTGCCTTGGGTGATGGAATAAGATATTTGGGAGAACACTGGAAAAGTGGGGAGGCTGGAAGGGGTGGATATGTGAAAATGTTCCATTGCTTTAGCCTCAACTCGACCCTCCTTTGTCACTTTGGTGAGCATTTTGACAATGAGAAATATTGATGACAAACTTAATCTTATTTGAAAATGAGAATCCTAACAGTGCTTGTCTCATAGGGATATTGCAAAAGCCAAAAGAAATAATGTGGGTAAGAGGTGTAATACTGTGCTTTTCATTGTGTGAAGGCTCAACAAATATCAGCTCTTCAGATATTACTATTACTCCACTTTTAAAATGCTATTGTTTAAATCATCCCAATTGGTGTTTCTAAATACTTTCTAATAACTAAGCTAATATGCTGTGAAGTTCTTCTAGGGTTAGAGCATTCTGGTGAAGCATATTAGACACTTTCCTGAGTCAGTACTTCTTATGACAAAAATTATATGCCTATTTGGAACGTATCTAACCCCAAAACCACCACCTGAGGGAGTGGGTGGAGAGAGGAAACAACTTTTTAGACATTAATCCTAATTGGATAAATTTACAAAACAGCTCATTGCTACATCTGAAGGGTAGTTTTTATCTAAGTGGAATGACCAGAGAATGTAAGAAAATTTCTTCCTGTAAGAAAATGTAAGAGAATGTAAGAGAATTCCTGTAAGAGAATGTAAGAAAATTCCTTGGGCATTTACCCAAGAAATGCTGCCCTTCAGAACTGGGTCCCGTAGGTGCTTTACTCACGAAGCTTCTTTGTCTCCTTTCACACCGCTCCCCCACATCACCCTCCAGTAACTGTCTGCTCTTTCGTGAAGGGCCACATAGGGACTGACCCACAGACCAGCTGGAACACATGGTCCAACATTTAATAGCAAGGCAAAATGCCAAAGCCTCAGGGCGCCTGAGTGGCTCAGTAGGTTGAGCGTCCAACCTCAGCTCAGGTCAAGATCTCATGGTTCATGGGTTCGAGCCCCACATCGGGCTCTGGGCTGACAGCTCAGAGCCTGGAGCCTACTTCAAAGTCTGTGTCTCCCCACCTCTCTGCCCCTCCCCTGCTTGCATTCTGTCTCTGTCTCTCTCTCAAAAATAAATCAAACATTAAAATTTAAAAAATGCCAAAGCCTCAAGCAGAGACAAAAGAGAAACATAGTTTCCTTCATGGGGAGCTAGAATGGCTCTAATTCAGATGAAGCCCCAGAGTGAGACAGATTTTAATTTCAATATCAGTCAGTTCAGATGATACATTTGCTCATAAGCTTAGGCTGTATAATGTTATTAAATAATACGTATTTCACGGGATTGTAATGAAGACGAAGTGAAATAATATCTGTAAAGGACCTCACAGATTGGCCAGCATGTAGTAAACATTTAATAATCAGTTGCTCTTCCTGCTTTTCCCTCATAATACTTGGTTTCTGACCTCTTCGCAATCATGAAAGTCAGTCTTCTGTAGACTCCATGACAAAGACTTAGAGAAGAAAAATGGTCTGAACAATTTAGACAACTGTCTTTTCCCCTAAAACCAAGGGTGGCATGTTTGTTCTAAAATACCTAGATTGTCTGTACGGTAACACTTTGGTTTGTGAGCAGAATTTGTTCTGGAAACATGCTTGCAATCCAAAGCACTTGTATATCATAGTGAATTTCCCCATAAGAAATGATGGAAACTCAGGTGATTCCTTCACAACCCAAAAATATTCATATAAAAATGATCACTGTAATGTAATATAAAATAATAAAAAATACAAAATATAAAGAAAAATAAGCAAATTAACCTGCACTTACCTTTGAAAACCTTCGTGGCTGGTGTGAGGGAGACGAGAGAAGAGGGTTATTACGTAGGACGACTTTCACTATCATTAACGAAATCACTGCTATCTATTGGCTCAATGGAATCTTTCTCTTTTCATGCAACTTTAACAAGGAACCTATCCAATGACACTTGCTTTTGCCTCCTTTTGAGGATTTCACAGAAATGTGACATTGCATTGACAATCACCCATAATCCCTCAGCAGGAGGGAGAGAGAGAGAGAGAGAGAAGAACCATTGGCTCAGTTGTGATCATGTGACTGTCGGCATCACATACTACTCGTATTGCAAGATATCACTCATTTATCAAGTTAAAATTTATTAGACATGTTTGTTCGTCTTGTGGAACACTCACAGAACAAGTTACTTGCAATCCAAGGTTTTCCTGTATCACTTAATTTACTCAGGTGCTTGGTCAATCTACACTTCTCTTTCATGCAATTGGAAAACATTAAAAAAGTTGTACATACAGGGACGCCTGGGTGGCTCAGTCAGTTAAGCGTCTGGCTCCAGCTCAGGTCATGATCTTGCAGTTCATGAGTTCGAGCCCCATGTCAGCCCTGTGCTGACAGCTCAGAGCCTGGAGCCTGCTTCAGATTCTGTGTCTCCCTGTCTCTCTGCCCCTCCCCACCTCGTGCTCTCTCTCTCTCTCTCTCTCTCAAAAATAAATAAAAATATTTTTGAAAAAGTTGTATGTACACACACATACACACATATGTAAGTTTATATGCTATACCTTCTGTAACCTTTTGCTCATCTGTTCTCTCCGACTTTATAAGCATGTGAGGTGGGTTTTATTTTTTATATTTTTTAATTTAATTTAATTTTTTAAATTTTTTTTAACATTTATTTATTTTTGAGACAGAGAGAGACAGAGCATGAACAGGGGAGGGGCAGAGAGAGAGGGAGACACAGAATCCGAAACAGGCTCGAGGCTCTGAGCTGTCAGCACAGAGCCCGACGCGGGGCTCGAACTCACGGACTGCGAGATCGTGACCTGAGCCGAAGTTGGATGGTTAACCGACCGAGCCACCCAGGCACCCCTGTGAGGTGGGTTTTATATTTCCTATTTTATAACTAAAGGAATAGGGGGCACAGAGAAGAAGCAACTTGACTGAGCCAAAGGCCTTGCAGCTGATTAGGGATAGAGCTGGGGTGTTCTGACCCCTTGGCAATTTTTCTTCCTCCATACTGCTCTGAAGACTGTGGAAGGGAACTGCACTTGAATTTGGCGCCACAGGATTCCCAGCTGATAAGTAACCAAAGGAAACAGCGTGGCTGAAATCCAATTAAAAGTTAAAATCCCACTGGGCAATCTCTCCTTAACTGACGACAGGAATTGCTGTCACTGCCCTGTCTCGCCACTTTGCAAACAGCAGGGATGTTAGCAAGAGCTCACGGTGAACAGCGAATGCTTCCCAAGGGAGCGGTGATTGCTTTGGCTGGATTCTGCCGTGGCTTTTTTCTGGTGATGAAGAGGCTGTAGTCAGCCAATCAGGGGCGGTAACCATTTTCTAATAACCACCTCAGGCTTTTGGCACCAAATTCTCTGGCACTGTCTGGGGAAGCTCTTTTTGCTACTTCATGCTACTTGTCAAAGTCAAGCTGTTTGTCTCATTTTTCTGGGAAACTGGACGCTTCCCGTCAAATTGCTCACCTCAGTGGGATCCAGCCAGCAAAGTACTCCAAGGGGGTGCTGATTGTCTGTGACATGTTTTCAAAAATGACCCCAGTTTGTATGGCTTTCCTATGGTCCCATGTTGTGTGAAATCAGGATGTGGTCCTGAGTTAATGACATAAGGAAGCACTCTGATGCTTGTATTGCCTTCTTGGTTTTCTTGAACCTCACATGGACTGGCTTCATCCTGTGCAGGAGTCCATAGCTCTGCACCTTTCCTCTCCACTTCCTGTGCAGGCCTTCCTCTGGTTTGTGGGCTGTTAGGCGTCATCTTGTTCCTTCAAGGCTCACACTGAGCCGCTGGTCAGAGTTTTTGTGGGTGGTTTCTGCTGCCTGCTTATCATCCAACCCCAGTCTCCGGTGTTCCTTCCCCGTTTTTAAGCCTGCAATAGCTCTTTCCCAGTTTGTCTTTAGCTTGCCCTTTCAACTCTCCCTCCTGCCTTCATAGTAGGTAAGGAGGAGTTACCCTCCTTTTCAAACCTTGATTTTGCAATACCGTCATTTTTGCCGAATTGTGTTTATAAGACTAATGTAAGTATGTTAAACTTGGTATCGGTTTGATGACTTCGTCAAGATTCCTTGCCAGGTTGTGTGTGTGTGTGTGTGTGTGTGTGTGTGTGTGTGTGTGTGTGAAAGAATCTGCCTAAAATCTTTGCTAATCTAGTTTTCTCCTAAATGCAGTTACACATAATGCCTCCTAAAACAAATTCTCTACATTTGTCATTTGGCAGCCTCCTGCTGTCACTCTGGAGCATTAATAAGTCTGAAGATTAGTCTTCATAACAGAAGTATGAAAGTTCTGATGCAGGTAAATACCACTGAAGACTTGAAATTTCGAGGAAGTTTGGAGACTTTTGTGGAGACTCTTAAGATGCTCTCTGTCAGTTACCACAGTGAACTCTCTCCCCATAGTGTATATTATGCTCACACTGAGTCATTCCATGCGGGTACCATATATGTTTCTGATCTGGGTAGATAAGCCAGATTTATAGATTTAAAGGAGGCTGTATCAGCTGCTGCCGGGAAGTTTTTCTTTAGTTAAGAGCCCGTGAAACTTAATCCTTGACATTTCAGGAGCTGCAGTTTGTAATAAAATCAACTTTAGTCTAGACCATGGTTATATGGTCCTAATAACATGGTAGAAATAAAGGGCAAGCCCTTATTCTAATTTCTGACATCCCTACAAATTTATGTTGTGTGTCTTTAATTGAAGGATTTATTGCCTTTCCCAATAAAAATAATTGCAAATTTTAACACTTTCCTCCAACCAAAAATAAAATTATAAGGCTTTATTACTTTTCCATTGCTCTTAAAGATTTCAAGGTTGTCTGGGGGCTTCCCGAGGGCATTAACTGTGGTCTGATTCAGTCATTACTTTATCCTCAGAGACTTAGATGGCATCCAGAGCATATGGAAAGTGCCCAATGAATGAAATGAATGAATGAGTGGAACCAGATAGAACCAGAGTCACCTTTTAGTAGCCTACCTGTATAATTTCCGGGTAATGTAGCATTTAAAAAGGGACAGTGATAACACATTTCTAAAAGGAGATGAAGGGCATATTTAACACTTTCCAAGAAGAAGGAATGCAGCTTCTATCACTTGATCTAGGTCTTTGATTACGGAGGCATTGAGAATTCCCTGTGGCTGAACATGGGCAAAACTTTTAAGGCGAGCTGAGGGCTCAGGCTGCCTGGTGGACATCAATACTCCCATGGAGCACTTTCCAAGAAGAAAAGTGTGGGCTTGCTGTCTTTTCATCAAAACTCCTAGAACTTGGCTGGCTGCCTGGTTTATCCCAGGACATTAGTCAGCCCACAAATCCCACATTTGTTTATTCAGTCCGGAGCAAGTGAATACTGCCATTCTCCCATCTCCTTTGTTGGCAAATGCTTTGTTAACCTGAATTGAGCTCTGCGACACAAAATGAAGTGACTAATCTTTTGGGGGTTTCCCCCTCCCAGATTCTCTTATGAGCCACTAAACTGATAGGCCACAAAGCCCCATACTGTCGTTTTCCCTCATGCTGCCCTTTTATTCTGACGGTTCCACATTGTACTTAAGGAAACCAATACCTTCCAGAGTGTGGTTGAAGTGGCGCCACCATTGAGAAAAGGAGGTTACTGAACTTTTTAGTCTTGTGAGAAAATGTTAGCAAGCAAAGGGAGTTGAGTTTGATGATTTATACTTACGCAGTCTACTCCTGGGCATTGGCAGTAAGTGTCACCTTGTACTCTCAGAAATTTTTCCGATTCTGAACACGTGAGTCTGAAAGCACGGGAGGTAGGAATCTTAACACAGACAACCAATTTGGATGATCACATAGTTCGTATGTCGTGGGTCTGGAATATAATTTAAAAAGGATGTATATCCTTAATCACTAGGCTATTTGTGTATCTTCAAAGATCTGTAAAGACCTGGAATTTTTAGCTAAAGTTTAAGGATCTGTGTTTCTGAATTGTCATTGACCACGAAAGAGCGGTTAGTTTGGAAGACAGTTGAGGTACAACCTAGTACACAATAGAAGAGGGGGTAAAGGAAATCATAATATTTAACATTCTTGCCATAAACCCCAGCCATTTTTACAGCATGTTGTACATAGCAGCTGAGCAGATAATTCTCATTAATAGTTAGGCCTGTGGAAATTCTGTTTGGTTCATAAAGCTTTGATTCTGTGTCTACCATTGATAACCTGTTTTTTTTTTCTCTCTCTCTCTTCTTCCTTCAACTCTTGACCAGAGCTACCTTCCAGAGGATTTCTTTCTACCACACTCTTCCTCCCCAGTGTGAGAGAATACAAGTACATGTTGATGTTTGAAGCAAGAACATTCAAGAACTTCTGCCTGACTTTTAACCCAAGGCTTGGATTAGTATAATCTTTCTAGTTTTTAGTGTGAGGCTCGGGGATCACAAAGGTTGTTTCATCCATGAGACTTTTGCGATTTGTTATTCTATTTTCAGACCTGAGATCTGGAAGAAACCGAAATGGGTTTTAAAATAGCCATTAGCTCAGGAGATACATAACCAAGGCCTGTGGCAAGAGCTTTTAGTCACATAGTCTGAAAAAAAAAGAAAGATATTAAAAAAAAAGTTGTTTCCCAAGAATGATCACTCCCACCATTTTCCTATAGAGGAACAGGAAAATGTGTAAATAATTCCTGGGCCTGAGTGCAAATGATGCATGTGCTGGAAAACAGAAATCTAAAGTCATAAAAGATTTTGTCCTTTGTAGATACTTCTCCAGACGTGAGTTAGGTATTTTTGGATTTGACTCATTGCAAATCTTCACTGAGGGTCACCTGGATGGCTCAGTTGGTTAAGCATCCAACTCTTGGTTTAGACTCAGGTCATGATCTCACAGTTCATGGGATGGAGCCCTGCGAGGCCCATGATGAGGCTGCTTGGGATTCTCTCTCTCCCTCTTTCTCTGGCCCTCCCACCCCCCGAATCTCTCTCTTAAAGTAAATAAATAAACTTAAAAAAAAGAAAATCTTCATTGAGCACCTTGTGCATACCAAACATTCTGCTATGTTATGAGGGTTTGGGGGCCTCCACTATAGTCCAACTGGGGTACAGGAAGGATGAAGAGAGACTACATATAAATATAGCACAAGGCAAAATAAAATATGGTATACAACACGCTATGGGATATAATAGGGGAAGAGGTCCTATTTTATTAGTGGAGTCAAGATATGCATTACCAAGGTCATGGCATTCTTGCTGGGTCATGAGGATAGAATCTTGGCAGATGAGGAGGCATTCCAATGCAAGAGAATAATAAGAGCCAAAGTGCAGCTGTGAGAAAGTTGAAGGGAACTATGACTATTGCCAAGCAGGGTAGGGGCAGGGAAGTGAGGGTGGCTGGGTTTATATCATGAGTACTGAGTCTCATGCACACAGTTGAGCGTGCCACCCTCCTTGAACCACTGTTTACTGCAGAACCATGGCTCCCCCCTGGCTCTTCACTAGTCTTACCACTGCTTCTCAGTCACCTTTCCTGGCTGTTCTTCCTCAGCCTGAGCTCTACATATTGAATGGCTTCAGCATCCCATTTTTAGCTCTCTTCTCCTAACTTGCTATCATTTAAATACTAAATATTTAACATCTACATGCCAGTGGCCTCTAGATCCATAACTCTCCCTTGACCCATGCCCTGACCTCTCGGCTATATATCAAATTGTCTGCTGGACACCTCCACTGTGATAATTTGTAGGCCCGGATTAGAACTCTTGATTCTTAGCTTCCACCCAACCTCCTCTGCTTTGCTGCTGGAAATCCTCCTCTTCCACCAGTCTTTCCCATCTTAGTTAATGGGCTTGCCATCCACCTAGTTGCTTAGGGTCCCCCGAACTTGGAGTCACTCGACATATGG